ATAAGGTGTCTGCCTTTCTCTTCCTTCTTGATCTTTGGGTCTCCTAGTGTAAACACGAAACTCTTTTGTTGCAGGAAGTGTTTGGAATTCTGCCTGGGAATGAGATTCAAATTGAGTGGCTGAAGTAAGGTCCTGACTTTGTTGAGGTAACTCTGTTTGGACTGGTTGGGATAACCCGAGCTCGGGTTGGAGTTGACTGGATTGAAGAATTGAAGATTCTGAGATATCAGAATTGAGAACTGGAGATGATTCCAGGGTATTAATATCCCAAGATTGATATTCTTGAGTATAGTTCTCCCCCTGAATACCAATTTTGTACAAGGGTTGTTGCTCAAAGAATGTAACATCCATGGTGTTATAGAACTTCCTTGTGACAAGTGAATAGCATTTATACCCCCTTTGATTGGAAGAGTACCCAACAAAGATGCATTTGAGTGACTTTGGATCAAGTTTACTTCTGTGTTGGGCATATATATGGACAAAAGTGGAGCAACCAAAGATTTTCATGGGAAGGTTGGATAAGAGACGTGTATTTGGAAAGGAATGGAGAAGTGCCTGGTGCGGTGTTTGGAAATTCAAGACTCGAGAGGGCATTCTATTTATTAGGTAAGCAACTGTCAACACTGCTTCACCCCAGAAAAATTTTGGAACGTGTGTGGTAAACATAAGAGATCGAGCAACTTCTAGAAGGTGCCTATTTTTTCTTTCGGCAATCCCATTTTGTTGGGGTATGTCAACACAAGAATTTTGGTGAACAATTCCCTGACTATCAAGGTAATTACCCAGATTCATTTCAAAGTATTCTTTTGCATTATCTGTTTTTAATACTTGTATTTTTGTCTGGAATTGGGTTTGAATCATGGTATTGAATTTTTTGAAGATTGGACCGACATCAGATTTTTCCTTCATAAGAAACAACCAAGTGATTCTGGTATGATCATCAACAAATGACACAAACCACCTAGTACCCATGATATTTTTTATTCTAGATGTCCTCACTCATCACTATGAATCATCAAAAAAGGTTGTGATGCTCTATATGGAAGATTGCGATAAGATATACGAGTATGTTTAGAAAATTGACACACTTCACACTCAAACATTTTTGGCTTTTTATTTATGAAAAATGCTGGAAACAGTTTTTGAAGATACAAGAAATTAGGGTGGCCTAATCTATAGTGCCACAACATAATAGTATTGTCTTTATTGGAGGAAAAAAGGCTTTTATTTGACTCAACACGTACTGCACTATGAGTTTGTCCTCTAGGAGATCCCTCAGCTTTAAGAAGAAATAGTCCATACTGCACCTTAGCATTGCCAATCGTCCTCTCTGAAGTCAAATCCTGAAATTCACACAAATTTGAAGAAAACTTAGCAACACTGTTATGTTCTCGAGTTAGCTTGCTGGTGAACAAGAGATTACAATCAAGATTCGGGACATAGATGACAGAATTTAGACTAAGGTCCTTTGAAATAATAATAGAACCTGTTCCGACTACTCTAGAGTGAGATCCATCGGCTATTGTCACTGTAACGTTTTCTTGACATGGATTGTACTTGTGAAACATTGAGATATCTCCTGTCATATGATCGGAGGCTCCCGAATCTACAATCCATGACTTTGGATTCTCGGATTTTATAGTAAAGGCACTAATGTGATTACCTTTTTGTGCTACTAATCCTGCTCCGATGATGTTGTGATTGGTATCCTGCTGTGAGAACATTTTCTGTAGAGTCTCAAGTTGTTCTTTGCTAAAAGGACTTGATTCGATGGAAGGTGTTCCTTCTTCTGTTGCAGCATGATTGCCACAACTTTCTTTGTCAGGAGCAGGTCTTGAGGGTTTCCAATCTGCAGGCTTGCCATGGATCTTCCAGCAAGTATCTCGGGTATGGCCAGGTTTTCTGCAGTGCTCACACCACGATCTTCCCTTCTTTCCCCGATTGTCACTGCTGTTAGGTTGAAAACCTCTAGCAGTAAAGGCTGAACTTTGATATGCGGTTAGATTACCCAGAACATCCCCAATCATCTCCTTCTTCCTGCTCTCTTCTCTTCGCACCTCGGAGAAGGCTTCACGGATGCTGGGCAAGGGTGAAGAATTCTCCCCCGAACCTCATCAAGATTCTTATTAAGTTCCATAAGAAACTTGAATATCCTTTTCTTTTCAACTATCTCTCTGAATTTCTTTGCATCATTAGGACATTCCCAATGATGTTCCTCAAATACATCCAATCGTTGCCAATGGCGAGTTAAAATGCCATAATATTGGGTGACATTAAGATCCCCTTGCCGAAGATCATGAAGACTGCTCTCAGTCTCAAATATCTCTGAGGTGTTTTCCTTGCTGGAATAGAATTCCTTTGCTGCCTCCTAGAGATCACAAAGAATCCGGATTTCCACAGAATACTTAGGCCATATTATCTCGAAAGGAGTGGCAGCAGATCAAGCCCAAATCGCAGCCATGATCAATTGGCCACCGCCCACCAATTTACGGGAACTCCGAGGGTTTTTGGGCTTAACGGGCTACTATCGAAAATTTGTTAAAGGGTACGGTTCCATAGCCTGGCCGCTAACAAATTTGCTAAAGAAAGATAGTTTCCTATGGACGGCAGAGGCTGCAAAAGCTTTCCACACTCTCAAGGCAGCCATGACAACAATCCCTGTGTTGGCCTTGCTAGATTTCTCGCGTGCGTTTGTGGTTGAGACGGATGCGTCGGGAGTCGGAATCGGGGCGGTATTAATGCAGGATCAGCGGCCAATCGCTTTCTTTAGCCAAGCTCTCTCCAGCTCCGCTCGCCTGAAGTCAGTTTACGAGCGCGAGCTTATGGCCATTGTGTTGGCGGTCCAGAAGTGGCGGCCATACCTTATAGGGAGGCACTTTATTATCCGCACAGACCAAAGGAGTTTGAAATTCCTGTTGGACCAATGGGTTGTCAGCGAAACCCACCAACATTGGCTGTCCAATCTATTAGGCTTTGATTTTGAAATTCAGTATCGTCCCAGACTTAAGAATAAGGCTGCGGATGCCCTCTCCCGCCTTCCCACATCAGCGGAACTCCAGTTGCTTCCGCACCCTTTGAGCTCGACTCGGAGGAGCTTCACCGCCACAATGCCGAGGATGCCAAGCTCTCACGCATTATTGCGGACCTGCAAGCCGATTCAGGGGCTCATCCGAGGTTCACCTTGCAGCAAGGACGTCTCATGAGAGAGGGCCGAGCCGTGGTCTCGCGCGATTCTCGACTGGTGACCGACTTGCTACACACCTATCATGGCGGGGTGGCTGGAGGACATTCGGGGGTGCTCAAGACCTACCAACGTTTGGCGGCTGATTGGTATTGGTTTGGGATGAAAATGGATGTCGAGGCCTATGTCACAAAGTGCCCGATTTGTCAGCAGAACAAATATGAGACCTTGGCTCCCGGGGGATTGCTGCAGCCCCTGCCCCTGCCAGACAAAGTGTGGGACGATCTCTCAATGGATTTCATTGAAGGGCTGCCCAAGTCAGCAGGATTCAATGCCATCATGGTCGTTGTCAACCGCTTGAGTAAGTACACCCATTTCATTCCGCTCAAGCACCCATTCACCGCGACGACGATGGCAGACGAGTTCCTTCGCGGCGTGGTAAGGCTACACGGAATTCCCCGCACTATTATCTCCGATCGCGATAAGATTTTTTTGAGTAAATTTTGGATGGAGTTGTTCAAGCATCAAGGCTCTAATTTGACTCGGAGCACTGCCTATCACCCTCAAACGTACGGGCAAACCAAAGTGGTCAATCGGTGCCTTGAGACCTACCTACGGTGTTTCTCATCGGATGCACCCCGGTAATGGTCAAACTGGCTTCCTTGGGCTGAATATTGGTATAATACCTCCTTTCACACCGCCACACAAATGACCCCTTTTCGCGCCTTCTACGGCCGTGACCCCCCTCCTCTGGTGCGATATGGAATGGGATTGTCCCTTGTGTCCACTGTAGACCACCAACTGGCAGAGCGGGATGCCACCCTTGACCTTTTGAAGCAGCAACTGCAGCAGTGCCGTGGGCTCTACTATTCCGGATGCTGCGTTACCGCCACAACTCACTCAAGATATGGAGCTCCAGGTTCGGCCATCCGCACTGCGGGGAGTCCACCAAGCGGCCCATGGTTCCACATCGGAGTTAGAGGTCCTCATCCATTGGGATGCGCTGCCCGACCATGAGGATAGCTGGGAGAGTTTCGACCGCATACAAGCAGCCTTTCCAGATTTCCACCTTGCGGCCAAGGTGAGTCTTTGGGCCGGGGGTATTGATGGGGCTCCTGGACCCCCATTACGTTTCACCTATGCTAGAAGGCCTAGAAGAGTTCGTGTTGATGTGGCAGCAAGGGATGAGGTGGAGGCTGGTGAGGTGGAATCGGTGAGAGGAGGAAAAGGTGTTGACATGGAGGGAACTCAATGAGCTGTTGAGCTCACTGCTGAGTGAAATGCGTGATGTCTCGGGTCTCGAGAGGGCCTCGGAAGAAGAGAAGGGAAGAGGGAAATGGTTAGCTAGAACTAGAGAATAAAAACAGAGAGCCAGGGTAGGGAGTCTCATCGTTGAACTTCTCTGTAATTTTCATAGACGAGCCTTGGCCCTAGGGAGTGCAAGGGGTCACTCATACACCCCCATATCCTCTTGTATTTCCTTGATAATTACAGTTCAGATCAATTCCTTTCAATTCTTCCCTCTAATTTCTCTGAAATTGTGTGAATCATCTGGTTCGGAATTTAAGTCTTAACAGTTAAGTTCATATGAGTTTTCATAATACATGACACACATTATACATTTGTAATACATAAATTTGAATTTCAAATTATCACATTATGACATCAATTAACACTTTCTTTATAACGCCTTTATTCATTAACATGTATACACAGATTCTCAAACACCACATAAATGATTCTTGTCAGATAAACTAAACTTATATTAGTGACCCCTATGAGGGAAACGGCAAAAACAGAAGAGAAAGTAAACTCCCACCTTGAATTTTGCTTGCCAAAAGTAATGGTAAGCTTCCTCCACCATGGCCAATGCACAACACATGCATTTTCTTCTTCCCATGAACTGCACTCTTGAGACAATAATTACAAGACGCCAAGGTAGCCAACCCAACTGACATCATACTCTTCAAATCTGAAAACAAAATTAACACATCAGAAGACTTCTGTTTTTTTTTTTTTTTTTTTTTTTTTTTTTTTTTTTTTTTTTTCCTATCATTTTCAGTTTATAATCAATACAAGACAATGTTGAGGGCGTAGAGTCAAATTACTGTCAATGTGGATTGATTTTGATATCAAATTGAGTGTCGTAAATGCATAAAGTGCGCAATTTTCTCGTAATCTTCTTTCTTCATTAACGTAACTCTCACGTTGATGGTGAACCATTATAAATATTCTATGTCCTTTCTTAGGGTTACTTATGCAACGTTTAGTTTATGGTTCAGAACTATGATTTATGAGTCTGATTTTTAAAATTCAAAATTTTTATGAGAGAAAAACACCATAGAGAATCAAGAACCATGATTCAAAACCAGGGACGAACCTTAACAAACATCCAGTTATTGTGTTGATTAGAGCTTTAATCCATAAGGAACAATGCAAACATGAGAACATATTTAAAACGGCTTCGCAGTTCTTTTAGAGGGAAAGATCGATGGAATTACATGGAACAGCAAGGCAATGTGGCTGTTGCATAAGGAAGACGGAGCCAGGATCGGAAGCTCGGTAAGCCGCCATAACTTTGACGGTACTTTGGCGAGTCTCCTCGTTGAAACGGAGCGACCGCCATTGATATCCGAGCACGTTGAACCGCGCCTCGTCTTCATCCTCGCCCGGAAATGCCTCTGCATATCTCTGCCGAAGCCATTTCTCCGTCGCTGGCCAGTACAATTCGCTCTGAAACATTCCACAAAATTACTGACAAATGAAGAGAGAGAGAGAGAAGAGAGAAGAGCGAAGAGAGAGAGACACACAGGTCTGGAAGAATGGAAAGCGACGACAGAGACGACGCCATTGCCTTTATCGGAAGTTGATCGGAGAACGGTGTGACCGTCGGATTGATCCGTTCCCCACCACTCTGAAGCGTAGAACCAGTCGCCCTCGTCGTCGATACGACGCCGTGCCGCCGTCGAAATCCTCCGGAAAGTCCACCCAGCTCTGCGCCACATTTGGAAACCCTAATCCCCAAAATATGAAGCAAACAGTAACAGAGGGAAGAAGAGAAGAGAAGAGAATCGCAATGGCGAAGTGAAAGCTTTCAGCTTCAACCCACTAAACCCATTTCATTTCGGCAGGGGTTTTAGCATTTGGTTGATGGAATTAGATTTTTTTTTTTTTTTTTTTTTTTTTTTGTGGGCTAGGTAACACCTCCAAATGGAAGAAAAAAAGATTTTAGGTGGTTTGGAACTTGTTCTAAAATAATTTTAATTTTTATATAAAAATAAAAAAGAAAATATTTTTAATTTTTAATATAAATTATTTTTAAAAATGCATTTAGTAGTTTTATCGAGAGATTGTTTTCAGTATAAAAAAAAATTCATTAATGTCTCTCTATTTGTGATCGAGAGAGAAGAAAACATAAACAAAAAATGAAAAACGGCTAAAAGTCGTTTTTCATTTCTCTCTCATTTTACACTAAATTAAAAAATTATTTTCATTTCTGTTTTTTATTTTTAATTGTGTCAAACGTCGTTTCTCTCCCGTTTTTATTTTTTTTTTCTTAAAAAACGTGAAAACAAAAACAAAACTAACCCCAAACACGGCCTTAATTTTTAATAAAAAGTAAAAATGAATTTTTTTTATCATCATTTTTGGACTAATTTTAAAATTGTGTTTGATTAGTTTTTCAAAAGAGATTGTTTTGAGTATAATAAAAAAGTGAAATCGTGTTTATTAATTAATATATTATATTATTGTGAAACAGTTTTCAACTGTTTTCTAATTCCTTCACAAAAATCATTCTTACCGTTTTCGTTTTCAAAATATTTATTAAACAAACGTTGTTTCGTTTTCATTTTCATGCATGAGTCATTTGTTAAACACGCACTTTATTACTACGAGCCGAAAACAGCCAAGGTATAACTAATGTTCCAAAGGCCAAGCACAGGGTCTACAAGCACACTCACTGAATCTCGAGAATCCATGGTCCAAACAACGGAGCTAAACCAATTCCTACCCCTAATGAGGGCTAAACTCCTACAAATAATGGTTCCAATGACCACAGAACAACCCATCTTGACACATTCCTGACACAGCACACCGCCAAATAAAACTAGAGGCATTGGGAAACCATCCTCTAAGCCAAACCCTGCGCACAAACACAACACAGGAGCAACAAAAACAACACAGAGGGCCGGTGGGTAGACCACCGTCCTTATTACATAAAACACAGCAAACACAGATAATAAAAAACACACATCCATAGAGTTATCACCACCGCGATCTGAGAAGACGAAGTCCCTCAACGCCAGCCACCCACTCCATCAGCAACCTTCTAGAGAGCTTCCACTACCCCTCTTCAAAACCACCCTAGGCAGACAAGAACCACCTCAGAACACCAACCGTCGGCGACACGAACCCATCTCAACCCCTCATTGCCGGCGGTCGGCGACGGACATCGACGACTGTCCCTTCCACAACATCAATGACCGTCCTCTCCACAATAATAAACATTCTCGACTTTGTCATGTTTTGTCTAAACTATAGAGGAATTTCTTTAGTGATACTAATAATACTAATACTAAAATAATAATAATAATAATAATAACAATAATTGTTTATGCGGTTTTTCAAACATCAACTTCTGGGTTCCTCCGCATTCTTCTGTCGTCTTCCAATCATTCTGTCACTTTATAGCACCGGGTCCTACAGAAGACACTCTGATGCTCAAATTAGTAGAATATCCAAAGGATATCGAACTAAACAGAAAGAAAGAGAAAAGATTTGGATTCAAGGAAAAAGTCTTAGGTCACAAACTCATCATTTTCTATTTATACAATGATTGCCCTGATCAGGATTGATATTCCTGATCCATCCTAATCATGATACGCCGTCATTCTTTTGCTCTTAGGGTTTCTCCTAGGACATTCCCTCTGTGGAAAGCCTTTGGAAGCTTCTTAATCCAAGCAAGTTCACTGTCAATTTCATTATTCACTTTACACACGTCATATTCAGGTTGGTCGTGTTAGTTAGAGGATAGTGGGGCGCGTGTTACTGTCTCGGGATTCTCCACTTAACACGAGTCATTCTCACTTCCCTCTCGACCTTGATCCGCTTACAGTCTCGATGCATTGGAGTCCTCTGTCGGCCTCGGTCTCAGTCTCGATCTTACTCTCTGTCTTACTCCTCGATCGAGGTGGGCATCGATGCCTTTTCACACCCCCGCCTCAGCCTCGCCGTTCCGGCTAGGTTCGTGACATGTGTCATGATCTTAGACTATCATGTCATGATTGAGAACAACAACAACAATAATAATAATAGATGAATTTCTTGATCGAAATATTCTACCTTGATATTCCCTGAAAAAATTAAAAAAAAATGAACTGAGAAACAGCCCCTCTATAAGTCAATAATAACATAAATTAACTATTAAATTTAATTTTTATGATGAAATTACCCTCCTAAATTAAAAATAAATAAATAAATAAATTGAATTAAACTTTAATTTTAAAAGTTGAGCAAAAAAAAAAAACCTTCAATTTTAAGAAGCTTATGCATAGGGCAACCTTGGTTGCAACGAGGAGGCTTAGGTCACGACGAGACAGCATGGTGAGCGACTAAATCTAAGAGACTTGAGTCTAAAGGTGAAAGTTTAGACTGCCCACTTCAACTTTAAATTTTATAAAATATTTTAAAGAAATTCTGAAATAAGGGGTGTTCATCACCGACCCGGTCCGAATAAAGTTTTGGGCTTGGAATTTCAGCCGGGTCAGCCCGGGGCAAAAGCGGAACCCAAACTAACAATGGGCAAACCAACAATGGCGGGCCTTAGACTGACCCATTTAACTCAGCCCAAATTTATATTTCTATTTATGTCGGCTTTAATTTTGAGGGAAATAGTAGAGAATAGGCCAATTTAAAAACCTTAAGAAAGCATATAGGCCAATTTTTAGTTATAAAAATTAATAGGCCATAATTTTTGAATTTCCAAATTTACCCTTTCTTTTTTTTTCCTTTGTTTCTTTCGATCGTCTCTGTCTTTCTCTTTCTTTCGCAGATCTCTCTCTCTCTCTAGCTTCTTGCAGCTCTCTCTCTCTCGTAACTACGCTCAGATTTTCTCTCTCGTCGGTCGATCATCGGTTTTCCATTTGCTCGTCAGTGAATCATCGGTGGATCAACAGGTTCGTCGGTCGGTAGTTCTTGTTCTCGTTTGGATTTGAGCAGCTGTTCCGGTGATTTACCAGGTTTCTAGTTTTATTTTTGTTTTATTTTCGTTTTCATATTTTGCATTATTTCGGTTTGCTTGCTTTCTTTGTCCGTTAATCCTTTATTTTTTGCTATTTTCTTTTTGATTTTTACGGAACAACATGTTTGGGCATTCTTCGTTTCTAGTTTTTTCTTTTTTTTTATTGTAATTTCGTTTTCACGTTTTGCATTTTTCGGTTTGTTTTCAATTTGTTTCAGTCATGACAATTTTTGTTATAACTTGTCCAGTTATGGAACATAACTTGACGAGTTATGATCCATAATTGAGAGATTTTTTTATATAACTTGTCCGGTTATGCACTTTAACGTGACATTGTTCCTGCAATATGTTTGTAGGCATGCAATCTGTTTCAGTCATTGTTGCTTATAGGAGAAAATGGAGTCTAGAAAACCAATATACAAATTTTAGTTTTCAATTAGTTTTTATTCCAGAGGATGCTTCTTTGAAGTTTTTACAGGAGTGTTTATGTGAGGAGCTGAATCTTGAGTTGTTTGGTTTTAATGCTGGTGTTCATTCTTTATTACTTTTTGTGGGAAGGATGTTGAAGGACCCAATTGAAATTGTTTCAGACCTAAAGAGGGATGATGATGTTAAGTTATTTTTAAACTTGGTTCGACACAGTAAGGAAGCTCTTGAATACCCGTTGGTAATAGATTTTTTTAGTAGCTCCGTTAGTGCAGTGGGATCTATTTCTTCTTCATCTTGTTTTATGAGTTCAAGAGATGAGGCGTCATCTTCTAATGTTGATGGTTTTGTTTGTCAATTTGAAGATGATATTGATGTTGCGATGAATAATTTTTTGATTGAAGATTTGGATATTTCAAAGTTACCTATGTCGTTTGATGTGAATGTAGGCAATCAATTCATGAGCAAGTCGGTTCTCAAGAAATTCATGCATGTAATTGCTATTAGGAGGCATTTTAAATTTAAATCTGAAAGATCTAATAATTCATTTTATGTTTTGGTTTGTAAAAATAAGAGTTGTACTTGGAAGATGCGTGCTACTAAGGTTTCAAATGGTAATGTTTGGGCAGTGAAGAAGTATATTAAGGAACATACTTGTTCACTTGATGTTGCTAGTGCTGAGCATCATCAAGCAAATAGTCGTGTTGTTTCAGAGTTTTTAAAGGGCGATTTTAGCATTGGGCTTGCAGACCGTTTGCGTCCTAATGATTTTTGGTCTATAATGCATGGTAAGCATGGTGTTGAGATTAGTTACTACAAAGCGCGAATGGCTCGCCGATATGCGTTAGCATCAATGAGAGGAAGTGCAGTGGAGTCGTATGCATCCATTCCTTTTCTGTGCAATGTTTTCAAGGAGAAAAATCCAGGTGATTTTTATTTTTATGTGTTATGCTTATGCTTTTGTTTATCTTAATGTTTTGAAGGAGAAAAATCCAGGTTATGGTATAATTTGTCAGGTTATTCCCATAACTTGATAGGTTATATTCCATAACTTATGTTATCAGATAAGTTGACAGGTTTTTTGTTATAATTTGTCCGGTTATGGAGCATAACCGGTTTTATTTTTATGTGTTATGCTTATGCTTTTGTTTATCTTAATGTTTTGAAGGAGAAAAATCCAGGTTATGGTATAATTTGTCAGGTTATTCTCATAACTTGACAGGTTATAGTCCATAACTTATGTTATTAGATAAGTTGACAGATTTTTTGTTATAATTTGTCCGGTTATGGAGCATAACTTGACAGGTTATGAATCATAATTGATAGTTTTTTTTATTTTTTTTTTGCATAACTTGTCCGGTAGGATCTGTGACTAATAGTTATTTTAAATGTTTTTTTTTGTTTTTTCTTTATAGGATCTGTCACTTCTTATGAGCTTGACAATGATGGGCGGTTCAAGTA